AACAAACAATATAAATATAAATAGCACCAAAGATAAATACAAATACATAGCAAATATATGGTCAGATAAAGGATATAAAATATACATAAAATTTGCAGTCACAAAAAATATATATAAATAAGGAATATATAGTCAGGACATAAAACATCAGCTAGAAACATAAACTAGAAACATAAAATGCAGAGTAATAAAAAACAAAATGATAAAAAGCAGAATGATAAAAAACGATGACGAGGAATATTAAATATTAGCGCCAAATGTCACTTAGTGGATACGGTGATGTCATATACAGTGGGGATCGAAAGTTTGGGCACCCCAGCTAAAAATTTGTATTAATGTGCATAAAGAAGCCAAGGAAAGATGGAAAAATCTCCAAAAGGCATCAAATTACAGATTAGACATTCTTATAATATGTCAACAAAAGTTAGATTTTATTTCCATCATTTACACTTTCAAAATAACAGAAAACAAAAAAATGGCGTCTGCAAAAGTTTGGGCACCCTGCAGAGTTAATATCTTGTACTGCCCCCTTTGGCAAGTATCAGAGCTTGTAAACGCTTTTTGTAGCCAGCCAAGAGTCTTTCAATTCTTGGTTGAGGTATCTTTTCCCATTCTTCCCTACAAAAGTCTTCCAGTTCTTTGAGATTTCTGGGCTGTCTGTCACGCACTGCTCTTTTAAGGTCTGTCCATAGATTTTCAATTATGTTGAGGTCAGGAGATTGTGAAGGCCATGGCAAAACCTTCAGTTTACGCCTCTTGATGTAATCCCCCGTGGATTTCGAGGTGTGTTTAGGATCATTATCCATTTGTAGAAGCCATCCTCTCTTTAACTTCAGCTTTTTCACAGATGGCATCAAGTTGCCATCCAAAATTTGCTGAAATTTTATTGAATCCATTTTTCCTTCTACTCGTGACATGTTCCCTGTGCCACTGGCTGCAACACAACCCCAAAACATGATTGATCCAACCCCATGCTTAACAGTTGGACAGAGGTTCTTTTCATTAAATTCTGTGCCCCTTCTTCTCCAAACGTACCTTTGCTCATTCCGGCCAAAAAGTTCAATTTTAACCTCATCGGTCCACAGAACTTGTTTCCAAAATGCATCAGGCTTGTCTATATGTTCATTTGCAAAGTTCAAATGATGATTTTTGTGGTGAGGACGTAGAAGAGGTTTTTCTTCTGATGACTCTTCCATGAAGACCATATTTGTACAAGTATCTCTTTATAGTGGAATAGTGTACCACAACTCCAGTGTCTGCCAGATCTTTCTGGAGGGATCGTGCAGTCAAACGAGGGTTTTGAATTGTTTTTCTCACAATCCTGCGAGCTGTTCTGTCTGATATTTTTCTTGGTCTTCCAGATCTTGCTTTAACTTCCACTGTTCCTGATGACTGCCATTTCTTAATTACATTCCGAACAGAGGATATTGACATCTGAAAACGCTTTGCTATCTTCTTATAGCCTTCTCCAGCTTTGTGAGCGTCAACTATTTTCAGTTTCAGTTTTCTAGACAACTGCTTAGAAGAACCCATGGTGCTGATTGTTGGGGCAAGGTCAGATGAGTCTGGGAATTTAAAACCTTTGAGTTTGACATCACCTGGTCTTCCCAGACGATGATTGAGAACAATCCATGACACTGGCATGTCTCAGCTTTGCAAAGGGGGCAGTGCATGCTATAAATTCTGCAGGGTGCCCAAACTTTTGCAGATGCCATTTTTTTGTTTTCTGTTATTTTGAAAGTGTAAATGATGGAAATAAAATCTAACTTTTGTTGACATATTATAAGAATGTCTAATCTAATTTGATGCCTTTTGGAGATTTTTCCATCTTTCCTTGGCTTCTTTATGCACATTAATACAAATTTTTAGCTGGGGTGCCCAAACTTTCGATCCCCACTGTATGTTATTTGTTCATAATAGTTAACGATTATAATTAAAATATCATAAAACCAGATAAAAAAATGTGCTAAAAGAATATATATGAAACAGAGTAGAACAAACATAATCATATGTCCTCCTTATACTAACTATTGTCCAAAAAACAATTTAGATCGAAATCTATATTCAATCCTCTGGGGTGTAAAGAACCTAATTCGTAGATCCATCTCGATTCGAGCTGTGACACTGCTTGTTTTCTATTTGTTCCTCGCCAATGGGCATTAATAATACTTATGCCCATAAATCTGAGTGACGATGGGTCTTTATTATGATGGATCTTGTAGTGGTGCGACAAAGAGTGCTCCTTATACCCCTTTTTAATATTATTGAAATGCTCCTTTAACCTGTCCCTAAGACGTCTGGTGGTGCGTCCAACATATTGAAGGTTGCACGGACATTGGAGCAAGTACACCACAAATCTACTTGTACAAGTGATAAAATCTTCGATATCATAACGCTTGCCCCTTGAGTAGATATAAAATAATTACTTTTATTTGTATGCTTACTGCATCGGCAGATGACACATTTTTTACAGGGGTGAAACCCTTTTAGGCTAGTAAACATAGTTATACTTTTGGGTGGATCCACTATATTAGGGGCAATTTTATTTCTAAGTGATGTCGCTTTCCTAAAAATAATTTCCGGTTTCTCCGGCAATTATGTGCTCAATATGGGATCAGATTTTAAAATCTTCCAGTTATTGTTAATAATACTGGTTATCTTTTTGTGTTGTGTAGAATAATTGGTGATGAAAGGACATATCTGTTTCGATTTTTGTTTAGAAATATTATCAGATTTCTGTCAGATTTTCCTATGGTGTCAATGGTATGGTCAAAGGTAGAAACATCATACCCTTTTTCAACAAACTTATCTTTAATGATTACTGCTTGTTTATAATATGTGTCTACATTAGTGCAATTGCGCTTAATTCTAGAAAACTGCCCCTTTGGAATGTTATGTAACCAAACGGGGTGGTGGCAACTGTCTATCGAAATAAAACCATTTCTGTCCGTTGGTTTAAAATAAGCTTCGGTAATTATTTTACCATTGTGATTTATTAACACCAAATCTAAAAAGTTGACATTAACTTGACTATATTCAAACGTGAGCTTAATGTTTGAAGAGTTAAAATTCAAAGTGGTAAAAAAGTTTAAAAGTGCTTGTTCTTCACCGTTCCATATGAGGAGGATGTCGTCTATGTATCTACGATAAAAGGAAAGCTCAGGCCAATCCCTCGCATAGATGACATTCTCCTCCCACCTGGCCATAAACAGAGTCGCCAGGCTGGGGGCAAATTTTGCCCCCATAGCCACGCCCTTTTTCTGCAAATAAAAGTTGTGGCCAAACCAAAAATAATTCCTCGTCATCGCAAAATCTAATAAAGTTAAAATGAAATCCCTATGCAAATCCGACATATAATTAAAATTATTTAAAACGAATTCCACAGCCTCCATCCCATCTGAATGTTTTATATTTGTGTATAAAGATGCCACATCTGCCGTGACAAAGAAAGTACACTCATTCGTGGCAATATTACTGATGTCTTGGAGCACTTGTTTTGTGTCCTTCAGATAGGCTGGGGTCTTTATGACGAGAGGTTGTAAAAAATTATCAATATATTCGCCTACTCGTGAGCATAAAGACCCGATGCCACTAATTATAGGCCTACCTGGGGGATTGAGGGGATCCTTGTGGATTTTTGGTAATATGTACATGACTGTGAGTCTAGGTGCCGACGGACAGAGGTAAAGTTTTTCTTTTTTACTTAAAATTCCCTCTGTATATCCTTTGTTTATGATGGATATAAGTTCTTTTTTATATTCTCTAAGAGGATTTTTCGATAAAGAAGAATATGTTTCTTTATCGTCCAGAATATTATTTTGTTGATATTGGGTTGATATATCAACAAAATAATGACTCGAGACCTAAGTACTTTTAACCTGGGTATTCAAAGGGCAGATTTCCATATCACAATGGAGGCAACATGGGCCCCAGACCTCCATCATATTATAATAATAACAATTCCTCTGGAGGAATGTCTAACCACCAGAATGAATATAAAGAGCAAAGGAATAAACAACCCACATCAAATAATTTTTTAGGGGGAAATTCGGCACACAAAAGGAGTGCCACAGAAGGGGGAACAGGGGAGGCAAAAGGGTCAATAAACCCCAAAAAACGCAAAATGTAGGAATATTTAATCTAAGCAATACATCTTTGACTGACCAGGAATTACGACTTTTAAATAAGGGCTTAAAATTTGCCCCAAGGAAATCCCTAAATAATTTCCAGACATATATAGTCATTAGGAAGTATATTAGACAATTATCATTGAAAAAGTACTTCCATAATAAACCAACCTTACAGACCACGAGTAATGCTGGCTGTATTAATTCCAATTTAAGAAATGCGTCATTATTTACCCTCCTCCTCAAAACAATTCTTATATCAATGCCTTTAGAGCAGGCATGTCTAAAGTCCGGCCCGCGGGCCATTTACGGCCCGGGGGTCGGTTTAATACGGCCCTCCAACAGCCCTCCCTGCTCTGTGTAATGTGGCCCTCCCACAGCCCTCCCTTCTATGGCAGACAGTCTTCTGCTTGAGAGCAGAGGGCAGTGCGCATGCCTGACTGCGGCGCGTTCTCCCTGGTCTGTGTAAATGCAGCTGTCGCACAACCCTCCCTTCTGTGGCAGACAGTCTTCTGCTTGAGAGCAGTGCGCGCATGCGTGACTGCGCCGCGCTGGGAGCGACAGAGGGCGGTGACGTCAGGGCCGGGCTTCCAGCGTGAAGTGTGTTTCTCTTCCCCCTCCCGGCTGCAGAGCAGAGACTTCAGCTCCAGCTACCTTTTTCACCCTTCACATTAGTGCAGGTAAGTTTTTTTAAAATTTATTTTCAATACATTGTGAAAACTCAGCTTTCAGTTGATCTTAATGTTATGAAATGAAAAGTATGTCGTTTGCAATTAACTTGTGTGGCAGTGCGGTATCCTGCCACGGTGGAAATCACAGTGGTGACCCAGGATTCTCAACCATACAGGTTGAGGGGCTCCAGGCAGTTCTCATAATGCAGAGGAAACTGGTTTATCCATTTCCTCTTTGGTTTGTAAAGCCTGCTTTGGGACCTGTAGCCTGGAGATTTCTAAGAGAATTGGGAGGGATGAAATCTCCAATCCTGGGCCCATAATTTTGGGGCAGAGCAGCCAGCGTGCTGATTGCACAGGTGTGTGCAGGCCTTTTAGGGGAAGCCAGGCCATGATTCTGGGCTCCACCCCGGCAGTTAGGAGGACTCCACCCAGGCAGACGGGAGGTCTCTGCCATGGAGTCAGGTGGGCTACACCTAGGAGAGGTGGAAGCCGGACTAGCTGTGTGCTAGTGCCATACTTTGGGAAGAGTCTGCAGGAGGCAGACTTAAAACTGCGTACAAGCCAGGAGGCTGAATACTGTTCATTTGAATTCGTGTGATGGTGGATACCCCTGCGTGGGAAACCTTTATGTTATTGAACTGACATTTAAATAAAAGTGGGCAAACAGGCCCTTAAAAAATAAGCGAGTTGCCGTGTGCTTTGAAGAAGCTCTACCACTTGAAGCGAGGTCCCACATATGGTGGAGGATGCAGTGGGCATAATTGGAGATCCCTGCAAAAGTAAGTTCATCAGTTATATGAACTGTGTTTCTGTGCAATGGACAGCACAATTTGGTGTGTGTGCAGGTGAGGAGAACCTGCCTTAAAGAGACAGTGCTTCATTTCTTGATGCTGGACTGTGCAAAAGTGTTGTGAAGTGACTGTGAAGATGGGGCGGTCAAAGCAAAGAAAAGAAGAAAGATTTGCGGAAATGAGAGACAGAGCCCTATGACTGGAGGGGTTGTTATCACCAGAACGAGCCCCATACATGGATGAACAAAGTTTGCCAAAGTGGGAAGTGCATGTTGCTGCTGGCAACACTGGTGAAAGGAGACCAGCTATGAATGTGCAGAGTCCTAAGCTGGAAAAAGGCTGCAATGTGGGGAGCCTGGACAAGACACGCTGGCAAGAGCGATGCTTGCGGTGCAGGGAGTGGGGGCACACTGTCTCTAAAATGCCCTTTGTCTCAGCCTCCATTGCAAAGTTGCATATCAAAGCAAAGGACTGCATCTGTGTTAGGCAAGCCGGCTCTGAGTGCAAGGAAGGAGCGACAGCCTGACCACAAGTTTGAGAAGAATGTGGTTGCCCATAGCAACACATGTGACTTCAGGCCTGCGGACCCTGTAAGAGGAGTGTCGTCTCTGCAGAGGATTGTGACAACGCAGAAATGATGCGCGTTCAGCGCATCTGGAGGAACCCACAATGTTCAGCTGGGAGAGTGCCATCTCCCATAGCAACAGGAGAAAGCTTGGCAACCAGGAGAAGGGGCTACAAGGGAGATGTTGTTCCGTATCCCAAGAAGGTTATCGGTGGAACCATACCCTGCCTGGAATGTGGTCAGTTTGGGCATGGTATCTTTTCCTGCCCCAGATTATGGAATACCACTGATGAGGGTGCTTACTGAGCAAAAAGTCTTCATCTGCAAGCCCAGATTCCTTTTTAAAAATCTTGGCAGCCACCTCTAGCAACAGTGAAAAAGTACCTGTTGTGCCTGCAGGGGGTGCCAAGGAGTCAGAAGTGCCTGCCACAGTATCATCCTATAGCTGCATGGATGAACTGGGTGGCCAAAGCCAAGCAGAGGAGAGACTACGCACTCAAGTGAAGGCTATGACACCTGCTTCAGGAAATGGTAAGACTGTTTGTGGGACTGAGTCCAAGGAAGTGAGGGTGTGTCCTTCAGGGAGTTCCACAATACAGATGGACATGGACTGGCTGCTGTGTGCTACCCTGAGTAGTGGGGAGGCACAGGGAACAGCCCAACGATTAGCAGGACTAAATATGGAAAAGGACATGGGGACTCTGCAGGTGCCTGCTATAATCCAGCAGAAGGCTGGGGATGGTAACCTAGGGGTGACCAAAACTGCCATGGCACCGTGTTCCCTAGTGATAGGTGCTGCAGAGATGCCCAGGGAAACCTCCCAGGAGCCCGCAGTGACGGAGCAGAGGATTTCCCAGGTCAGCTATGGAGCTGCTGCAGTCATGTCTATAGGTAATGAGAATGCTGATTGTCATGCCAACAAAAGTGTTACTGTTGGTAAATGTAAGGTTATGGTTGGTGATGGGCTAGCACAGCTCACTAAGGATAACAGTGTTGATGTGAATATGATTGAAGATATGTTGTTGCCCTTGGCAACAGTATCCAAGGCTGCAAAGGTGTCCATGGAAACTTCCTGGGAGCTCTGTGTGTTGGAGCCAGAGGTTGCCTGGGACAACTATGTTGCTGCTCTGGACAAGAGAGAGTACTTGACACAAATGATGATTTAAATGCTAAAACTGAAATCTTTGAAAATGCTCATGGTGATAATGGGTTAACTGAGTCTGTCAGTACTGACAATATGTATGGAAGTGTTCCTGAGGGTGAATGAAGCGCCATCAGAGTACGGTGGTGAAGGTGTGGTATTGCAACCTGTTGAGGTTAAAAATTTAGTGCCACAGTTTTTTGGTTGAACAAAAGTGATATATGTGATGTGTCTGCTGAGCCTCTCTGTCCTGTGTCTCCTCCGGCAGTTGGTGCGGTACTGCGTAGTACCTCTGATTGGAGCGCAGAGAAAGTAGACTGGGACAGATGGGCTGAAAACCTGTTGGCTTTGTTGAAAGGGACCTCTGTTTCCAACAGTGGAGTGGACACGACTTCTGCTGTGCTAAATGGAGGGACTGCAGAGCGGCTTATAGACAAGGGCACACTTGCTGTTGCTGCAGATGATCTCCCTCCCGATATGGACGGGCCAAGTGAGATTGAGCACATAGCAGAGATCGTGCCCACAAACCACAAAGGATCCAGTGGTGTGGGAATGAATAGCGTGATCCCAAATGAGCCCGTGTTGGTGGAAGTGTCAGATGGCACACGTCAAGTGATTGGGGTCAGTAAACCAAATGTGGAATTATGTTATGACGGTCGGGTGTCAGGACAGTTGCTGGAAGAGGTTCATGTGCCAGTGGAGCTGGTGGATAGTGACGTTGCCATGGGAGACAACCACTCCACGCTGTGCACTTGGTTTCCAGACACTGCCCTGCCAAACATTGAAATGAGTTCTGACAAAGGTGTGGATGTTTTATGACCATGAGGAAAAATGCAAGGCCCTTGTAAATGTTTATGATGATGATTTGGAAAAGTGCGAGGCACTGGTAAATGGTGATCATTTAGTTTCTGTGGGTGACCATAAACCTAATGATGGACCTGAAGGTCATGAGGACATGCGTGCTGATAACCCTGAAACATGTGATGTGGTGGGTAATGATGTGGTAGACACAGCTGAGCTAAAAGCTGCAGTTGAATTAGGCCCCCTACAGGTTCAGGAGGGTACTCTGGGAAGAGAAACTTTAAATAGCTTATCTGCCCCGAGGGAAAACTTTAAGGAAGTGGATAATTTAAAGAGGTCCCCTGACATAAAAACCTCTGAAGGCCAAGACAATCGGTCTGTCCTTCAGAAGGAGAGTAGGACATTGCTGTCATCTGAGACTGTCAGTGACCAAAGGAAGCATGCAGTGTACGGGGGGAAACCAACCGAGCTAGGTTTTGTCAGTAAGAAGATGCCTGTACATAGAATGCAGAGAGGGACTAAGGGAACCCCAATAAAAAAGAGCCCACACTTTTTGTGTTTAAAAGCGTGACCCCTTCAAAGGTAAAGGGAAACCGGCGGTTGAGAGTGCAGTGTAGCTGCAATGTTATCAGACCCCTAAAACTCAGGTGTCAACCTCATCCTCAGGAAGGTACCAAGATTTGGAAGTTCCTTAATGGAAAGGTGATTTGGGTGGCCCCAAGGAAAATAGAGCGGCAACACTTTTGGAAGCGTACCCGTAAAAAGGCACAGTGTCTTTATAGGGCCCAAGTCCGTGTGCTAGGAGAACACAGGGAAAGTCGCCTCATAAGACAGGAAGGAAAGTTTTCCTTTGAAAGCAATGTCAGTCAGGAATGGGCTCATATGGGTGAAGGCTGGCACAGAGGTGCCAAATTAAAGAGTTTTGGGCGTGTGTGTTCTGCCCCCTACGGGATCAAAACAAAGGGGGGGATATGTGGCAGTGCGGTATCCTGCCACGGTGGAAATCACAGTGGTGACCCCCAGGATTCTCAACCATACAGGTTGAGGGGCTCCAGGCAGTTCTCATAATGCAGAGGAAACTGGTTTATCCATTTCCTCTTTGGTTTGTAAAGCCTGTTTTGGGACCTGTAGCCTGGAGATTTCTAAGAGAATTGGGAGGGGGATGAAATCTCCAATCCTGGGCCCATATTTTGGGAGCAGCCAGCGTGCTGATTGCACAGTGTGTGTGCAGGCCTTTTAGGGGAAGCCAGGCCATGATTCTGGGCTCCACCCCGGCAGTTAGGAGGACTCCACCCAGGCAGACGGGAGGTCTCTGCCGTGGAGTCAGGTGGGCTACACCTAGGAGAGGTGGAAGCCGGACTAGCTGTGTGCTAGTGCCATACTTTGGGAAGAGTCTGCAGGAGGCAGACTTAAAACCGTACAAGCCAGGAGGCTGAATACTGTTCATTTGAATTCGTGTGATGGTGGATACCCCTGCGTGGGGAAACCTTTATGTTATTGAACTGACATTTAAATAAAAGTGGGCAAACAGGCCCTTAAAAAAAATAAGCGAGTTGCCGTGTGCTTTGAAGAAGCTCTACCACTTGAAGCGAGGTCCCACACTTGGCATAAAATAATTTATTTGCATTTAATTGTAATGGTTCAAAGAATGTTCAGAAAAATGTTCGGCCCTCCACCATGTTCACTTCATCCAATCTGGCCCTCTTTGAAAAAAGTTTGGACACCCCTGCTTCAGAGACACAGTGTTTAAAGATCTTGAGATGATGAAAATCAAACCAGTAAACAAACAAGATCCTATTAAGAAAGCTGTTGAATCGCTATTAGAGAAAAAGGACTTGGTAATACGTCCAGCGGACAAAGGAGGTGGGTAGTGATGCTAAATAAATCGGATTATATTAAGGAGGTGTACAATATTCTGGACGATAAAGAAACATATTCTTCTTTATCGAAAAATCCTCTTAGAGAATATAAAAAAGAACTTATATCCATCATAAACAAAGGATATACAGAGGGAATTTTAAGTAAAAAAGAAAAACTTTACCTCTGTCCGTCGGCACCTAGACTCACAGTCATGTACATATTACCAAAAATCCACAAGGATCCCCTCAATCCCCCAGGTAGGCCTATAATTAGTGGAATCGGGTCTTTATGCTCACGAGTAGGCGAATATATTGATAATTTTTTACAACCTCTCGTCATAAAGACCCCAGCCTATCTGAAGGACACAAAACAAGTGCTCCAAGACATCAGTAATATTGCCACGAATGAGTGTACTTTCCTTGTCACGGCAGATGTGGAATCTTTATACACAAATATAAAACATTCAGATGGGATGGAGGCTGTGGAATTCGTTTTAAATAATTTTAATTATATGTCGGATTTGCATAGGGATTTCATTTTAACTTTATTAGATTTTGCGATGACGAGGAATTATTTTTGGTTTGGCCACAACTTTTATTTGCAGAAAAAGGGCGTGGTTATGGGGGCAAAATTTGCCCCCAGCCTGGCGACTCTGTTTATGGCCAGGTGGGAGGAGGATGTCATCTATGCGAGGGATTGGCCTGAGCTCTCCTTTTATCGTAGATACATAGATGACATCCTCCTCATATGGAACGGTGAAGAACAAGCACTTTTAAACTTTTTTACCACTTTGAATTTTAACTCTTCAAACATTAAGCTCACGTTTGAATTTAGTCAAGTTAATGTCAACTTTTTAGATTTGGTGTTAATAAATCACAATGGTAAAATAATTACCGAAGCTTATTTTAAACCAACGGACAGAAATGGTTTTATTTCGATAGACAGTTGCCACCACCCCGTTTGGTTACGTAACATTCCAAAGGGGCAGTTTTCTAGAATTAAGCGCAATTGCACTAATGTAGACACATATTATAAACAAGCAGTAATCATTAAAGATAAGTTTGTTGAAAAAGGGTATGATGTTTCTACCCTTGACCATACCATTGACACCATAGGAAAATCTGACAGAAATCTGATAATATTTCTAAACAAAAATCGAAACAGATATGTCCTTTCATCACCAATTATTCTACACAACACACAAAAAGATAACCAGTATTATTAACAATAACTGGAAGATTTTAAAATCTGATCCCATATTGAGCACATTATTGCCGGAGAAACCGGAAATTATTTTTAGGAAAGCGACATCACTTAGAAATAAAATTGCCCCTAATATAGTGGATCCACCCAAAAGTATAACTATGTTTACTAGCCTAAAAGGGTTTCACCCCTGTAAAAAAAATGTGTCATCTGCCGATGCAGTAAGCATACAAATAAAAGTAATTATTTTATATCTACTCAAGGGGCAAGCGTTATGATATCGAAGATTTTATCACTTGTACAAGTAGATTTGTGGTGTACTTGCTCCAGTGTCCGTGCAACCTTCAATATGTTGGACGCACCGCCAGACGTCTTAGGGACAGGTTAGGGACAGGTTAAAGGAGCATGTCAATAATATTAAAAAGGGGTATAAGGGGTATAAGGAGCACTCTTTGTCGCACCACAGTGTCACAGCTCGAATCGAGATGGATCTACGAATTAGGTTCTTTACACCCCAGAGGATTGAATATAGATTTCGATCTAAATTGTTTTTTGGACAATAGTTAGTATAAGGAGGACATATGATTATGTTTGTTCTACTCTGTTTCATATATATTCTTTTAGCACATTTTTTAAATCTAGTTTTATGATATTTTAATTATAATCGTTAACTATTATGAACAAATAACATATATGACATCACCGTATCCACTAAGTGACATTTGGCGCTAATATTTAATATTCCTCGTCATCGTTTTTTATCATTCTGCTTTTTATCATTTTGTTTTTTATTACTCTGCATTTTATGTTTCTAGTTTATGTTTCTAGCTGATGTTTTATGTCCTGACTATATATTTCTTATTTATATATATTTTTTGTGACTGCAAATTTTATGTATATTTTATATCCTTTATCTGACCATATATTTGCTATGTATTTGTATTTATCTTTAGTGCTATTTATATTTATATTGTTTGTTTTAATGGGAACCAATAAGCTATATATTTATACATTTAATTATACATAATGCCAAATATGATCCTGGTTTATATTTATGTATAACAGGATGGGTTTCGCATATTAATATATACTTACAAAAGAATTATAATCAATACCTCATGATTTCTAACAATTTTAAATGTATTAGACGAAGTTTCTATCATATTCCACATTAGAGACTCGTTTCCTATCTAACATTTAACTCCCAGTACGGCAAAAAAGGATTAGGTTGCACAACCCATGAGGACTAATAAAGATGTGCTTTACCATTACCTAATACTGCCAACTAAATGGCACCGCACTAAGGGAGACTACTTGTTGATTAGAGATCGCAACCGCTATCCACGGCAAAATGGCGCAGATGACCCGCGCATGCGCCATGGTCCGGCAAGATGGCGCCGATGATCTGAGCATGTGCCGATAGCTGACAAAATGGTGGGCGCATTAGGCGCGTTTGTCATTAACAAATATAAATAGCACCACTACAGATGTCCTTGCTGCAAACCCTTATCCCTATGACTACGTGCATCGCACGAAACGCGTCAGGGCTGCAGCAACAGGACATCCAACCACCGCAGGTGGACACCTTGGAATTTATGGTCAGTAACTTTTTGGAATTTTTTTGCTATGTACTATACACCCACTATCCTTGAATAAAGGTACCTTAAGCAGTATCACGCTATGTGGTCTCTTATTGGGCACTCTGTGTGAGTGCTATCATTCGCAGTGCCCTTTTGGAGGAAAATATGACCCTGGTGGCGATACCTGGTAGCGGATCCTGGTGACCTTTTTTCTGTGGAACTTGGATGGTGATCCATGGGGTTACCCGTCCTGAGATCTGACGACCTATCTATGTCCTGGTGATGCAGGATTATTTATTGTGTATCTTAAACGCACATCTGGTGAGTGCGTTTTTCACCCACTCGTGTGGTTTGCACCAATTGTCACTCCTGGATCAGGACGTCCACTCACCTGGAATTGTGATCTCTATATGATCCACATAATCACATTGAACTAATTTAAATATTTAATGATCACCTTCAGAGTGATATCACGTATTCGCATAAGTTTGAAATAGCATATTATTGTGTGTATTAACGTGTATCATCACTTAGCTCCGCACCATTTTATTTGGACATACATGTATTATTGGAGGTTTTTCTTGGTTACCTTTTTCGGTGTATCAGCAGCTTATTAACATTGTGTGTGTGTGTGTGTGTGTGTGTGTGTGTGTGTATGTATGTATATATATATATATACAGTCATGGCCGAAATTGTTGGCACCCTTGATATTTTTCCTGAAAATCAAGTATTTCACACAAAAAAGGTATTGCATTAACACATGTTTTGCTATACACATGTTTATTCCCTTTGTATGTATTGGAACAAATATAAAACAGAGGCAGAAAAGCAAATATGACATAATGTCACACAAAACCCCAAAAATGGGCTGGACAAAAGTATTGGCACCCTTAACTTAATATTTGGTTGCACACCCTTTGGAAAACATAACTGAAATCAGTCGCTTCCTATAACCATCAATAAGCTTCTGACACCTCTCACCCGGAATTTTGGACCACTCTTCCTTTGCAAACAGCTCCAGGTCTCTCTTATTGGAAGGACACCTTTTCCCAACAGCAATTTTAAGATCTCTCCACAGGTGTTCAATGGGATTTAGATCTGGGCTCATTGCTGGCCACTTCAGAACTCTCCAGCGCTTCTTTGCCATCCATTTCTGAGTGCTTTTTGACGTATGTTTGGGGTCATTGTCCTGCTGGAAGACCCAGGATCTTGGACGCAAACCCAGCTTTCTGACACTGGGCCCTACAGTGCGACCCAAAATCCTTTGGTAATCCTCAGATTTCATGATGCCTTGCACACAGTCAAGGCACCCAGTGCCAGAGGCAGCAAAACAACCCCAAAACATCATTGAACCTCCACCATATTTTACCGTAGGTACTGTGTTTTGTTCTTTGTAGGCCTCATTCCGTTTTCGGTAAACAGTAGAATGATGTGCTTTACCGAAAAGCTCTATCTTGGTCTCATCTGTCCACAAGACGTTTTCCCAGAAGGCTTTTGGCTTACTCAAGTACATTTTGGCAAACTGTAGTCTTGCTTTTTTATGTCTCTGTGTCAGCAGTGGGGTCCTCCTGGGTCTCCTGCCATAGCGTTTCATTTCATTTAAATGTCGACGGATAGTTCGCGCTGACACTGATGCTCCCTGAGCCTGCAGGACAGCTTGAATGTCTTTGGAACATGTTTGGGGCTGCTTATCCACCATCCGGACTATTCTGCGTTGCAATCTTTCATCAAT